AATATAAATTGAGAATTTAGATATATTTTTGTCACTCAAAATTCAAATGCTAGCTTAGCCCCGGTCTTCCCTATTCCATTCCATTCCGATGGCGCAACATCCCAATATCGGGGATTGGGTCTTATACTTTTCGTACGTATGTCCGTAGTGCACACGCAGATTTCCAGTGAACGAGAATGAATTAAAATGAATTAAAATTTGTTTAATGTGTACTTTAAATCCATGAAAATGGATTGAAATGGATTGGATCTGAACTGATATATTAATTTAATATTCGAAAAAAAAAACATTTATATTTAAGAGTTACAAATTTTATTCTTAAGACATTTAATAATAATTATATCTGAAATTATAACTACTTCAAATTGGTATTGTGATACACCACTTCTTTAATTGGTAAATGTGTTATTCATTCTCTACTTCAATTACAACCAGCTAAACTAGTAACAAAATTGTATAGATATAATAAAAATATCATTATTTAACAGATATAATAAAATATAAATAATTTACATTAATATGAGGTACTAACATTAGGTAAGTGTCGGATAACCTAATCTCGCTTGGCCGATGTCGCGTGCCGTGATTAGCCTAATATTCAGGCTGTGTTCGACTTGGTTTGCGAGTGTTCACATCGATCATTCATTTTACTTTTAATCAAAGAGAAACAAAAGAACATAGCTCAATTATTTTTACGTTACAACTTTTTTGAACTTAGTTGAAAATTAAAACGAAAAATTTCTTACTTATAATTTTGAATAATTTAAGTAGCATTTATGGTCCATTTTTAAATAAAAACTTATTTATTTTATTCAATTAGATTGAAAAACTGCATATTCAGAATTTTTATATTCAGAATATAAAGCAATGTTCACAGTTGCACAGAAATTGCTGATATTATTTTTGAATTTAACTGAATTAAAAAAACTGTACTTTCTATTCACAATTTTGAATTAAGTAATATTCACGATGTATAGAGATATGCTTTATGCAATTCCTATAAACGAATAAAAATGCATTCAGGATTAAAAAGGCATAAACATTTGCTTTATGCAATTCTTATAAATGAATAAAAATGCATTCAGAATTGAAAAGGATTTATTTCAACATTCATGAATCCGTATTTCTAAAAATCTGAATCCATTTTAATCTATTTCATTCCGTTCTCATTTGCTGGATTGTACATAGATACGAAACCTGCAATTTAACCGGTTCCGAATGGCAGTTTTAAGAGGTTTTCTTGGCAATAAATACTCTTGGTGGTTTGCCGAAGAGGAGCTACGAGCGCGTGAAAATTTTTTGGATCTGCCGGAGATCGAATCCGAGTCTCCTAGCATGATAGACTCGTGCGCTGTCCACCATGCTGCGCTCGTGTTCCAATCTCCCTTATATGTTATAATAAACTTACATCTCCTTAGATATTAAAACAAATCAGGGAAGATCGGGGACAGTCGATATAGTTTTTCTTAATAAATTTTTTATCTGTAATTAATAAATGAAATATAAATCGCAAAGGAATTTTTTAATAGCTACATGTTTAAACAACACAGAAATTATATTTATAATTTGATAGTATAATTATCTCTATTAACGGAAAATATAAGATGAGATGACACTTGTAATAAATGACATTTAGAATCAATTGTTCCAATATCCAAATTTTAAAATATAACGCATATAATTAAAGAAACTATAAAAGAAAACATGCATAACATAACTTTATTAATCATTTTTATATAATATGTGTATAATACGTAATTATTATGACATAAGATGTATAAATTTGAATATTTAATAAGAGACAATTATATCTTATATAAGATTATCAGTTGCCTCTGTTGCGCTAAGGTTCCCAGAGCAAAAATTTATGGCATGCCAGATGTACGATCAGGCTCTCAATAGGAAGTGATAAGGTATGCACTAGTCGGGAATTTTCTACTGGACCTGACTAGGGGAACCGGTAGAATACATTCTATATATGGATGATCCAAAATTCACGAATTTAGGGTACAGGACATAATACTTACGCTAAAATAAACAATTTTTTTGTTTAACAAAATTGCGTCCAATAAATAATTTAAGTTCTTATTTGTTAACTTCAACCTGTTCTCTTTCAAAAACTGTCCGACTAGAAATTGGCCCGACATATCATGAGGCTCTGACCAGGTAATCATAAGGCATATTTTGTTAAGACCATCCCGATTAGGTCCTTATCATTACAAAGTCAGGCTAACCAGTATAGTTAAAAGTAAATAATTTAATCAGGTTCTGATGAAGATTTGATGTACATGCCTTATTGGCAATATATATAATAATATTTAAATATATAAATAAAATAAAAAATAAATTAAAAAAAATGAAAAATAATTAATAAAAAGAAATCAAATAAAATGAACTTTTCTTTTCTTTAAATTAAAATATTTTCTTCGTCACCAAATGACATGAAATATAACCGATGAAAGACCGAAGGCATAAAGATTAATCAAGGAAGTAGAGCATCACAAATTACGATAATTATTTGTTATAAGGAGCATATTCAGAATATACGTAAGTATAAAACACACCTTTATTACGTGCGTTTAATATAAATTATTTACAACAAGAGTTTATTTCTGACGTGTTCACTAATTATTTAATAATTTGTTATTTACATTTATGGATTCTGTAAAAGATTGCAATGAGTATGGTGATAATTTTTTTATTGAAGCAGATGAACAGAGTCTGAAGGATTCATTTGACAAGATTAAAAAATTAACTGCTTGAATTAAAATTTATTCGTTACAAATCAAACTAATCAAGACTCCTTATAAATCAAAGAATTGGAAAGGATACGAGCAATAGGAGTCAAGCGCAGAAGACGTCGCGCAAATAATATATCTATGAAGTGTAAAACTTCTTTCGATAGGCAGTTCGTTATATATGCAGTGGTTACATATTTACACAATATACTATTTAAGACTATTCTTAAGGCGGATAGTTATTAAAAATAGCTTCCAATTAGTTGAAAAATTAAAAAGATTATACATTACAGGTGAACATAAATTAATTTCATTGGACGTTATCACTTTTCACGAATGTTCCAATAGAGATAGCGGTTGATTGCGTGAATGAGCAATGGAGTTTTATTTCCAAGGATTGCTCTCCGCCTAGGAATGAGTTTCTAGGAGCGATACGATTCATTTTAGATTTCACCTTTTTTTCAACTGACAATAAAATTTATAAGCAAAGCTTCGGCACTCTAATGGGCTCTTCTTTATCACCTGTAATAGCGGACCTTGTAATGAGGAGATTAGAGACGATGTCTTTGATGTCGTTGAATTTGGATATTTTATTTTATTATAGATATGTAGATGACATTTCTACTGCAGTTTCTCCCTCAAGAATTGATATTTTACTACAACAATTTAATTCATTTCATCCGCGTTTTCAATTCACTACAGAATTAGGGGAAGACAAAATAAATTTTTTGGATATCACTATATCTATTATATATTACTGCAATGTAATATAAATGTCTTTTTGAGATATACATATCTTTTTATATATACCAAATACATACATGTATATACATGTATATACAAAATATATAGAAAATAAGTATAATAGTAATATAAATTGACGCTATGGATATAATGAAACGTACATGAAAAGGATGTAATATTATATATGTGACATTCAATTTTGATTCGATCAATCTGCAAAGCCATGTTCGAAGACATTAGATTGAATTATTTGTTATTTCGTTTATATTGTTTATTAGATGTAAAATAAATGTATATAATATATGTTGGGAATGAGTGAATTCCAATAAATGATTGAAAGATGGTTTATTTAGTCAAAAACAGACTTGACGACACATCGTATACAAAAACGGTTAGAGAGAAAAATTGCCGGTAGGGCATGAATACAAAAAAACGCGCCTAGCGGCAAACAGAATATTAAACATAAAGATGTCGATAACTAATCGGCTATGACTCGTACGTCGGTAATCTGCCGGGCGCCATAATTGATTGGACAAGCAACTATCCATCAATATATATATTAAATATATATAGTTCTGCATTAACTGAAATAGGTAAAAATTGGAATGGGCAAGATCTGGACTTATACATTGGACTTTCAATTCAAGTTCTAATAAAGTGTTTCTAGTCGCGGAAGTAACATGTGGCCGAGCCATGTGTCACAAAGCAAAATAACTTTTTGATTTCCTTTCCAAGCTCAAGGCCTTTTATAAGAATTTCTTTACTCAAACTGTATAATTAATTAGATTGCACTGCAGTAATCGTTTCGCTCGATTTGAGAAACTCATATTTAATAAAGCACGTTCTTCTGATCCCACTAAATGTAGAAAAGAATTTTATGACCATAGATGTTATGCTATTGAAGAAAACTCCTGTATTTAATTACTGCTTTTTGAGTTTATTTAATTTTAATTTTAATTATTTTATTAGGGTTACTATAACATATTTATTTTTTTTATTAAGACTATTTTTCACAAAAACTTTTTTTTGTCAAACATGCAGATGTTGAGTCGATTACCAATAGCACATCGAATAGTTGAAATTGAATCTGTACATAACAGAATCAATCAATTAGAATCCTTCCTTTTCTGCTATTTCGTAAAAAAGAGGAATTTTGATTAATTGATTTTCTTTTGCACTGTGTATTATGTGTTATATGTTATGCAAAAGTTTGTGCTACGGCTATAAGCGTATGATTAACAGTAAGCTATTTCATTAATGCTACGGCAGATGACTGAGTTGCATTTTTAGCGAAAAAAGTATTTAATTCTTTCTTCTTTAGTCTCCATTTTTTGCCGTGACGTAATTTGTTATTAACCTTCACGTAATTTCATCATCATTAAGATTATTCTTACTTTAAAATCTTTAGAACCAAGATTGATACATATACGTTCAAATATAGTATGCTTATAGGTCTTGTATACTATATTATATTAAAAATATTTAGGATGTCAACACGTAAATTTAAATACAATTTGTCTAATAATGCAAACGTAAAAAATTGGAAAATTTTATCTGTTTAGATTTTAGCGCTATCTATCTTTGACCCCAGAAACTTACACACAATCCCATATATATAAGCTTGATGAGTTGCATAAATCAGTTGTTCTTGGCTTTTGTCATACATCTAATAAGATCGTTAAATTCTAGAAAGTATTATTCTGCAAAAGGACCACTTTAGTTTAAAACATGTTTGCTGTTATTTTTACTCTTGCACTTATAACAGTACATGTTGGAGCGGAAATACGTAAGTAAATGACAGATATTTATTAGTCTTTATTACTGTATATGCAAGATCTTATATCATTAAAAAGAAAGTTATTATGATTTCTTTATCAGTTCACAACTTAAAAATTCAAACGAATAAAATATTTTCAAATTAAGTACTTTATTTTAATGTTTAAATGAAAGATTTTTAATAATTTTAATTTAAAATGTAAAAACATACATTACGACAATAGTTATTATATAGTGCAATATATTAGCAACGCAAATTGCGTATCTAGTACATGCATTGCTTGCAGGATATGCGTTAGATAGTAATAATACAAAAGATATGCGTGTGAAAAAGGACTTCAGATGAAAAGAAGCCATTTTCATCATAGTCCTTGAATAATTAATCAAAGCACAGTGCTATTAACTTCTATAGGAATTGCTTGTCAAACATTTATCTACGTATTATATAAAACGGCAATATAAGAACGTTTTTATAATGAATACATAAGAATGTTTTTATAATGAATTTCCGCAATATAACTTATGTACCTTGTAGACTTGGTTTGCTATTAAGTGCAGTCGCACTTGTAACAAGTTTATTAGTGTCGACAAATTAAAAGAAACATAATGCGGAATATTTTTTGATATCTAAACTGTATAATAGAAATGTTAAATGAAAATTCTATGACAATATTTACAAATCTTTTACCTACTTATTTTATTATTAATTATTATCCTGCATTTTTTTCCTTTTTCCTTTTTTCTTTTTCTTCGTTCTTTTTTAAATTGATTAAAAAAGATTTTGTATATTAAGTTTTTAAAAATTATATTAAATTTATATTAACTCTCTGTTTCATACGAATGAAGGCATTAAAATAATATTGTACTGCAGATTGTACATTATTTTGAAACGTATTTTACGCATGATGTAAAATAACAGGTGTAACATTGCGCATAATGGCAATAGCAACTGAAAATAGCCAATCGAATTTGAGCCTATGCACTCATTGCGCATGGAATTGTTACACCTGTTTTGTTACATTATTTTATCTTTTTTATATTTATGTGACTAGTAGTTATTTAAAAAGTATTTAATTAAGAAAAATTAAACTTAAATGTAAACTCTTTATAGCCTCCTACATTCAAGTGTGCGGCCGTAGAGACTCGAATCTTGATCAGTGTATCATAAATAATATCGATAATTTGAAAGGAAGACTCTGCGATGGAATTCCAGAATTGGGCATTCCGTCAGGAAATCCGTATACTTTTGATGAATTACTCATTACAGACGGGCCTAACGCCAAAATTTACATTAGAGATGCAAAAATAATGGGAATGTGTGATTTTGTCGTAAAATCCTTTTACTCGGATATCGACAGACTTCACTTTGATGCTGAAGTAGTATTCAAACAGATTGAAATAAATACCACTTATGATTTTAACGTACGTTTATTGGTGCCTATTGCCTACAAGGGACCGATTTACTTAACCTTAGGTATGCAGAAAGTCAATGTATTAAAATAAAACAAAAAAGAACTTTAATATTTAATTTAATTTTTTAATATTTAAGTTAACTTTTTAATATTTCATTTTTTTATTTTATATCTTTATTGCAAATATCAAATTATAATTTGCAGATAACGTAACAGCAAAAGCAGATATAGATATAAATCTGACAACTAGAGACAGCAAAAGATATGTATATTTATCAAAGTTGAAGATTAATATTGATTTCAAAAATTATAATGTTAAATATGACGTGTACAATTCGGATTTAGCACAATTCAACGAAATTATTAAGAATTTTTTAGGCAACAATCGAGAAGAGATTGTTAAAATTCTTAAACCACTTATAGAAGTGCAGATCTCCAGACGGATTATCTTGATTTCTAATAATATAGTTAAACAATTTACTTACGAAGAGCTCTTCCCCGATAGAACATAAACCATAAAAAATAAAAAATTGTCACGTTACTATATTTGTGATTAGAAACGGAGATTTTTTATTTTTCCGAATGTGGAGTAATTCTTAAT